ATTACAGACACATTTCTCCTATCCAGTTCACAGTGCTGATTCCTAATGCATATTCCATTCTCACTGAGACCCCCTTGACCTCAATGAAAATACCACACACAGACCATGCGACAGGGCTCTGCAGTGTGCAGTGGAGGTGTTTACTCTCTAGGGGGTAGTTAAGCAAGTTTAAACACTTTCTAGATCAAAGGCACGGATTCATCTCTGCTGTAACTCTGTTGAATTTGATGGAGTTACAGCAAGGATAAATTCATCCATGAAACCTGTCTATCTTAGGTATTTATCTGGTCTCCATCACTGGAGTATCTGAGCACTGCTCAGTCTTTAATGTATTTATCCTCACAACACCACTGTGAGGTGGGCAGTGCTATTATCTGCAGTTTACAGGTGGGAAACTGAGGCACAGAGAATCTAAGTGGTTTGCTCATGGTCACACAGAGAGTCTGTGGCAGAGCAGGGAATTAAACCAGGGTATCCTAAGTCCCTGACTAGCACCCTAACCACTGGACTGTCCTTCCTCTCTCAAGCCTGAGTTTGACTATCTGGATATTAATGGTTAAAATAAAATAATAATAATAATAATAATTAATAATTAGCACTTATACAGGGGTCGACTGTGATACTGTATCATTGCTCCTGGTGATTAGCACCTTAGTTCACCAGTTGTCGCACTGAAGTGAACAGATCTACTGGGGATTAAAGGGCTTCTCCATGTAAGGGGATCTGGATCTGACCGAGAGCACTTTTCATCGGCAAAGCACTTTTTGAACATTAACTGAAACCAATACAACCCCCAGTGAGCAGAAAGTGCTGAGTTTTGCATCGCTGAATTGCTGTGCAGTCCCAGCTAGTGCAGCGTATTCTATTACACATGGCCTGTTGGAATGTACCATGCTAATTATAGCTGTAATGGCTCCAGGGTTCATTCATGTTGATAGCAGCAAATAATATGCAAAGATGAGTGGGCATGGAGATGTGAAACACACTATCACGAAGAACAATAATAGACATCCAGGATATCCACCCTTATTGCCCACTTGTTAACACAGCAGTAATCTCTGTAGATAGAGACTTAGATATATGGGATCTGATGCTATAGCAGATACATGCATGCAGACCTTTACCCCGACATGGAGTCCCACTGACCCATACGGACTGATCCAAAGATCACTGAAGTCCATAGGAATCTTTCAGTTGTTTCAATGAGTTTTGGATTAGGACTAGTGTTTCTCAACCTGGGGGTTGTGGGTTGTGGGACTGGTTTCGGGAGGGGGGGGATCAGAAGTGAAGGCACATTTGTGTGCCAGATCAAAGTTTATTTTTACACAGAAACAAACTATAGGTTCACTTTTTACAAATGATGAATCTTACAGAGTCCTCCAGTGAGACACTTGTGCTTGTTTTGTACAGGCACATTTTCTGTATGTTGGACTGAATTGGAGAAACACTCCGCAGCAGGTTACTCTCCACACATCATGTATTTCATCGCTTTGTTTTTATCGCAACCATAGACGAGAATCCCATAAGTTGTGAATGGGATTGAAACTTTCAAAGCTTCAAGAGACTCATGCTTCTGCGCCATCCAAAACGTGCACCCACCTTCTGAACAAAATGAACACTGAAGCGTTTTATCAGATGAAAGCTCGATCAGTTTATCTTGCAGGCTTCCTGTAAGTTCGGCAAACTCGACTACTCTTTTGTTGAACAGATTAATTAACTACCTCTTGCCAAATTCTTCGTTGTCCGGCAGGAAGTAATTCTGGAACTGCTTTTTAAGTTCAAATATATGTTCAGTCATAATGTTTTTTAATTGTTCACACTCGTCATCGGCAATCAATTTCATAAACTTGCAACTCAGGGGAAATGACTCAAAGTTTCCACTCTGAAGCCAAGTGGACCAGGTACCAAGCTTCTTTCCAAAGGCTCTCACTTTGTCTCCCAACACTGTTATGTTTTTGTGTCGTCCATGAAAACTCATACTCAACTAATCCAGATGACTGAAGACATCTGCTAAGTAAGCCAGCTGAAGAAGCTGTGATGGGCCGCTGAACAATTTAGCAAAAGGAGACCCTTGATGCTGTAGGAACATAAGTACTTCAGCTCACAGTTGAAAAAGCCTGCTTAACACTTTTCCCCAGGAGAGCCACCTCACTTCAGTGTGCAAGAGAAGACTTTTATGAAGTGCACCATTTCATCACATACAGCTGCGTTTTATGAAATTCACAACTTCTACAGAGTCAGCAAGCACCTGACGCAACCCAGAAGGCATTCCTTTTGCAGCTAGTCCTTGCGACTGTAAGAAGCAATAGGTCCACATTGCATGTGGCATAATTGTTTTTAATCTTGCAACAAGCCCTCTGTTCTTGCCAGTTCTTGCTTTGGCATCGTCACTGCAGATAGCAATACATTTTCCCAACCAATTTCAAAATATTCGGCAGCTTCAACAAACACGGTAAAGAGACATTCACCAGTCATGTGGCTAGGCTGCGCTTTACAGAAGAGCATGTTTTCCTCAACAGGAGCATCTGAATTATATTGAACGAAAGCTAAGGACTGCTGAGCCTGTTGAAACTGAACAGCTAGGAATTCACACTGTTTTAACTTTGCTTTCAACTGCTCATGAATGTCATCAGCTATTCTATTCATACGCCTCAAAACCATATAGTTTGATAAAGGGATAGCTTGAAGCTTATTTGCCTCTTCCTGGCCAAGCATGCTTGTGACCATGTCTTGTGCTGCAGGAAGTCTGAGATTCTCAGCTATCGTATGTGCCTTACATGTTTGGGCAACATGAGAGCTGAAGCTTCGAGAGCATTCTTACTGACATTACTTGCGTTCGACTGCTATTCAAGCTGTTCAAACGTCTCTTAAAGAACTCAAGAGGTTTGCTCTTTAACTGCGGATGTTTCCTTTCCAAATGCCGAATTAATTTAGAAGGTTTCATGCTTTCAACACTTATTACTTCATGGCACACAACACAGCGCGGTTTGTTTTCGATTGTTGTAAGGCCGTCGATTAAATAGCTGCAGTCGTACTTGCAGCATTTTGCCTTCCTTGCTCCTTCATTCCGTGAAGTACTTGCTTGAGCTCTCTCTAAAAATGTACCCACTGCGCAAGAAGAAAAATGCATACACTATTTGCTAGCCACGAAAAACAACAACACTGGCTGGACAGGAAGCAGCAGTGAGCTCACATGGTTGCGGGAAGTCACATGGCTGCGGGAAGACCGATACTATTGATGACACAATATTCTGGGGGGGAAGAAATCTCTGCTAACATAAAACTGTATAGGAACTGAAATGACGCACTATATTTGCGTAGGTTTGAAATATTAGTTTATTAACGCCGATGGGCCAGCATTAGTCCTAATTTACTTACTTATATTTAAGGTCGGGGGTCAACATTTTTTCAAGTCTTAATATAAGGAAGTCCCTTTTTTTTTTTAAGTCCAAAGGGGGTCACCAGCATGAAAAGGTTGAGAAACAGGCCCCTACTCAGCAATGCATTTAAGCAGCATGTGCTTACACCTCATTGACTTTAAGCTTAAAGCTAAGCATGTGCTTAAGTGCTCTGCTGAATCAAGGGCCTGCATCTGTAAAGGACTTTGGATGAAAAACTATTTGGATGAAAGGTGCGATATCAATCCAAGGTCACTGTCAGATTTTGAATGGTTTTTCTCCAAGCATAAATGCAAGCACAGTTGTTAAGAAATATGACTTTGTTTCAAAATATTGGCATTGATGTGGAAGTATTATTAGTTGTTCTATCTCTTGCCTCCATCAGATTAGAGCCAATGTGTGCCGTTTACCTCCATCAGCCTGCCACAGTAAAGCCAGCAGGCTGCAACTTTGTTTAATAAACTTCCTCCTTGTAAGGAGGGGAAAACACCCTTTATAATAATCCCACAGGTTAACTATATGTGGTGTAAAAAAAAAAAAAGCTAGATGGACAGAGATATATCGAATGGATGTGAGCAATGGACGTCAATCTAGGGGCCAGGTCCAACACCTATTAAAGTCAATGGGAATCTTTCTATTGGCTTCAGTGGGAGTTGGGTCAGGCACGAAGAGGGACATGCCATGTAGTGATGTGACATGTGTTGCACTATGGAGTCTTTGGAACCAGCATCCACACTCCTGTCATTGAGTTCTTGGAGTCACAATCTGGTTCCTGGTTTGGTCCTGGAGCAGAACAACAATGTGCTGCCCTTTATATGGGGCTTATGGGTAAGCCTCAATTTAGCCCGAAGCAAGTTAAAAAAAAAAAAGCCAAAGCCAATGGGTAAATTAGTTGTTGCAAATTCTTTGCTTAGCTCTAATTATCAAGTTTTGGCAACCATTAGTTAAACTGGTTAATTTTATTACAGAGAATACAACAAATCACAAGGCTGACGATAATGAGGATGAGCAGGCGTTTAATTATCCTTGTTCTAGACAGAACAATTATTAATTTTAAATGGCAAAAAACTCATTTGAAAAGTTTGGAGTCTGGAGAATTGTCACGGCAAGTTTAATATCACGGCTGGAGATCTATGGTCAGATGCTTCATGAATACCACTACATCAAGCAAATCAATTCCTACCCCTCTCCCCTCCTGCCCCCTGTAAAAAAAGAATTAAAACTAATAGACCTAAAGCCAGAAACTTTGGTTTGGATCTTCTTTGTCAGCTATAAACAAAGCACTCTAACACCTGTACAAACAAATTACTGAGTGACTTGGAAGCTCATTAATCAATGCATAACGGGTAAATACAATAGGGACCTTTCAAGAATGATAGTATCTTAGTTTAGTTTTAGTGTGATAAGTGGATAAAAGGAACTTGGGGGGGGGGTGTTAATTTTTTTTAAAACTCTGTAGACGCTTTTATAATAAGCTCAAATTTAAGTACCAGCATCACGTTAATCATGTGTGCATCATCCTTGTGCCATGCAGCAGAAAAAGCAACATGGTATTTTCAAATTCAGCAAGGCCAATGTAATATGTGGAAGACTGACGCTTACCTGCAGTCTCTTGTCCATGTGGCTTTTCTGGGTTTTCCAGCTGAGCCCATGATTCTGATGTTTGATTGTAGTATTAAATTGCTGCCTACCTAGGATAAAAAAATAATTGTTAAGAGCTTGCAGATACGGACCTGTTGAGGAAAGGCTAAACATATATTGCCTAGCTAAGTGACAGCTAAGAGTGGATATGGTAGCAGTCTGCAACTCAAGAGTAAGACCAAGTTGTAGATTGTGGGCTCAGAAGGAAAAGCTAGAGGGTATTGTGATGGACTTGAGCAAGATGACTTGCCACTGAACATGTGGTCCAGTAGTTGGGGCACTGGAATGAGTCAGGAGAGCTGGAATCTAGTCCCAGCCCTGCCACTAATCTGCTGTGTGTCCTTGGGCAAGTCATGCCACTCTGTGCCTCAGTTTCCACACCTGTGAAGAGGAGATAATAATCCTGACTTACTTCTGTTTGCTTTGTGTTCTTTGGATGAAAAATGCCATGGAATAACCAAGTTTTATCATACAAGTGTTCTGTGAGGATAGTCTCACAATGCAGATGCAGAATCTCTCTTGCGGAATTATTCAAACCTAGGCCCTGGAAATGTTCTGAAGGGACCAGTCCCACCTTTTCCTGTGGAGATGTACTGGGTGAAATCCTGGCCCTTCTGAAGTCAATGAGAGTTGTGCTATTGAGTTCAACAGGGGCAGGATTTCACCCGTTGACTCTAGGATCTTTAAGGATAGCAGCAAGATGTCCACAGGTTTTTAATTGTTTTACCAAACAAATGCATGGTGCAACATGGACCTAATGAAATCCCAGCATGGTCAGCTCTAGCCTGGGGGAGCCACTCTGCTCAGACAAATGAAAGAACAACCCCACAGATAAATAGATTGACCTCCAGCCCTAGTATGGACACCCGTCTCAGCCGGTTAGTACCTGGAAGTGAATCTGATAGATTGATACACATCAGGGTGGCTGCTCTGCTGCCCCAGGCTGTATGGGAGCATTCCAGAAGGGGGTGCTATAACCTCAGCTGGTCAAGTGAGCATTCGCCACATATAGGGGAGATTTTGAAAGTGCTCTTAAGTAAAGTGCACAACCGCTATTAAGGCAAGTCACAGTGGGCCATCTAACATGCTGACCGAACCTCCACTGTGCTATGCAGTTGCTTTACCTTAACATGGCTTCCTGGGTTATGTTTTAAATGTCACGTTAGGTTCCCATGACCGTGTGATACATTCTGAGCCTCTCCTTGTGAAGAACTATTATCGCATTAAAGTCAGACACCCTCGGCCCCTTGAAAAATTGCATGCAGCCCCGGGTGGTTATAACTAGAAAGTAAAATGCAATATTTCATTCCACTGTGATAGCCAAGGAGGCGCTGGATGCTGAGTGTCACTTTGCCTCTGACCAGTAATGTCTTTAGTGATGCAGCTGGAGAGATTTTCTTTGCTCTTGGCAAGTGGCATGTCCCATAACCTACCAGTGGGATACTGGACACAGCAGAAAATGTGGTGAGCAATTTGCAGACATGGATGCTCTGCTTGGTTCATGATGGTAAAGTCACTTAAATTGTGTGTTGTGTAAGCTACTCTGCAGCTGGCAGCATGAGCCATCCTGGCCTGGGAGAGATGGAGCCAGACTGGCCTGGGAGAAGGTTGGGCCGGGCTGGAGATGAGCTGTTTTAGAGGGCAGCCTCCACCAGCAGGACGCTGATGGAGCTTGAAGCAAATTTTAAACTGGGTGGAACCTCAAGGTGATGCTCTCACTGATGCAGCTTTGCCTGTGAATAGCAAGAGGTGCAAATCCCCCCCAGCCCACCCCCATATTAGCAGGGTGGATCTGACCCGCTGCAAGCAATAGAATTGTGGTGCCAATAAATGGTATCAGGACTGAGTACTCAAGAGTAAGACAGAGCCGACACTGGCATGCTGGCAGCTTCTGACACTCTGTCTCCAGTCACAGGCACCACATACAAACTCCTTTAACGATACCCAGCGGCGATCTTAGGCACAGCTACCCGCCACCTAGGGAGGCGCACTGAAAAGGCTGCTACCAAAGACTCAAAAAGTGATAGCCAATTTTTTTTAAAGTACATCAGAAGCAGGAAGCCGGCTAAACAACCAGTGGGGACACTGGACGATCTAGATGCTAAAGGAGCACTCAAGGACGATAAGGCCATTGCGGAGAAACTAAATGAATTCTTTGCATCAGTCTTCACAGCTGAGGATGTGAGGGAAGATTCCCAAACCTGAGCCATTCTTTTTAGGTGACAAGTCTGAGGAACTGTCCCAGACTGAGGTGTCATTAGAGGTGGTTTTGGAACAAACTGATAAATTAAAGAGTAATAAACCACCAGGACCAGATGGGATTCACCCAAGAGTTCTGAAGGAACTCAGATGTGAAATTGCAGAACTACTACCTGTAGTTTGTAACCTATCATTTAAATCAGCTTCTGTACCAGACGACTGGAGGAAGCTAATGTGACGCCAATTTTTAAAAAGGGCTCCAGGGGTGTTCCCGGCAGTTACAGGCCGGTAAGCCTGACTTCAGTACCGGTCAAACTTGCTGAAACTATAGTAAAGCACAAAATTGTCAGACACATAGATTAACATAATTTGTTGGGGAAGAGTCAACAGGTTTTTTTTGTAAAGGGAAATCATGCCTCACCAATCTACTAGAATTCTTTGTGGGGGGTCAACAAGCATGTGGACAAGGGGGATCCAGTGAATATAGTGTGCTTAGATTTTCAGAAAGCCTTTGACAAGGTCCCTCACCAAAGACTTTTAAGCAAAGTAAGCTGTCATGGAAAAAGAGGGAAGGTTCTCTCATGGATTGGTGACTGGTTAAAAGATAGGAAACAAAATGTAGGAATAAATTATCAGTTTTCAGAAAGGAGAGAGGTAAATAGTGGTGTCCACCAGGGGTCTGTACTGGGACCAGTCCTGTTCAACATATTCATAAACGATCTAGAAAAAGGGGTAAACAGAGAGGTGGCAAAATTTGCATATAATACAAAACTACTTAAGATAGTTAAGTCCCAAGCAGACTGGAAAGAGCTACAACAGGATCTCTCAAAACTAGGTGATTGGGCAACAACATGGCAGGTGAAATTCAATGTTGACAAATGCAAAGTAATGCACCTTGGAAAACATAATCCCAACTATACATATAAAATGATGGGGTCTAAATTAGCTGTTCCCACTCAAGAAAGAGATTCTGGAGTCATTGTGGATAGTTCTCTGAAAATATCCACTCAGTGTGCAGCGGCAGTCAAAAAAGCGAACAGAACGTTGGGAATCATTAAGAAAGGGACAGATAAGAAGACAGAAAATATCATATTGCCTCTATATAAATCCCTGGTATGCAGATGTGGTCACCCCATCTCAAAAAAGATATATTGGAATTGGAAAAGCTTCAGAAAAGGCCAACAAAAATTATTAGGGGTATGGAACAGCTGCCATATGAGGAGAGATTAATAAGACTGGGACTTTTCAGCTTGGAAAAGAAATGACTAAGGGGGGATATGATTGAGGTCTATAAAATCATGACTGGTGTGGAGAAAGTAAATAAGGAAGTGTTATTTACTCCTTCTCATAACACAAGAACTAGGGGTCACCAAATGACATTTAATGTTTAAAACAAACAAAAGGAAGTATTTTTTTCACACAACACACAGTCAACCTGTGGAACTCTTTGCCAGAGGATGCTGTGAAGGCCAAGACTATAACAGGGTTCAAAAAAGAACTAGATAAGTTCATGGAGGATGGGTCCATCTATGGCTATTAGGCAGGATGGACAGGGATGGTGTCCCTAGCCTCTGTTTGCCAGAAGTTGGGAATGAGCGAGAAGGGATGGATCACTTGATGATTACCTGTTCTGTTCATTTCCTCTGGGGCACCTGGCATTGGCCACTGGTGAAAGACAGGATACTGAGCTAGATGGACCTTTGGTCTGACCCAGTGTGGCTGTTCTTATGTTCTTACGCCTTAGCACAAGGATTTCATGGGCACTCACTGACAGTCCAGTTCCAAAGCTCGCTCCCAACACAGGGTGTCTGCATCTCCTTGTTACTCATGCCCAGGCAGAAATGAGGAGAAGACAGAGCATAGAGAGGTGGGCTGCTAAGCGGGAGTGTTGGATGGAAGTAGGGAGAGGTGGAAGGGGAAGCACTTAGCCCTAGCTCTGCTGGTTAGATGCTGGCCATGGGAGCAAGGAGCACAGACAGCAAAGACCTGGGAGGCCAGAGCCTCGCACAGCCTAGAGTTACAGACCCTCAGAGAACTAACTCCACTGGGCCACAATGCACTGGGACTTCTGTGTGTTTCTTCCTCCTTAAGCCAAGAGAACTCTCCAACGGGCAGCGTGGCACTTGCCCAGAGTCTGGCGCCTTGCTCATTCCTGGGACATGCAGCTTCTTTCCGGTTGGCCCAGCTTAGCAAGCGACCCAGTACCAGGACTTCAAACCCATCTGCATGTGTGACCTTGCACAGGATTCCTGAAGGGCGTGAGTGGGTGGGAGGGATTGGTCTCCCCAGGAAGCGTCCCTCCACCGTTCTTCCAGCCAGCCTGATCTCTGTACTGTTCATCGCTGACACAAGAATCAGGAGCCCGTGTTGGTGCTCGTCCAGCTCCAGCAGCTCACGCCTGCCAAGCTGCAAAGAAAGCTGTTGAAGGATTAGAGGATCTTGGCAGAAGGTGCTGACGCTGCACGGATCCGTGGGTGTTTACAGAGTGCTGCAGACAGCTTTCGGCTGAGAGCTCCATGGCTGGAAACATAAGTGAGCAGTGCCCAGGTTCACTTGCATGAAGCGGTGAAGGGGAGAGAATTCTGCCTCATTTTGGAGGGTGCTCCTGGGACACACAAGTCAAGTGCCCCATATCTATGCCCTGCAAGAAGGTACTATTGCTTAGGCAGGACACCTGTGTTGATCCGGGTCTCTGTGTACCTATTTCCCACGGTTACCTCATTCACCTTACACTGTGCAGCAGCGATGCCTGCAGAATTAATTCAACACTTTCAAGCACATTAATATCTGCATGCAGCCAGGAGCCAGAGTCTTTAGTGAAACGCAACATGGTGATTTCTGAAGCCAACAG